CTATGTATTGCATTTTTTAAAAAACTGTCACTCAAATGTTCTATTTTTGGACCAAATCAAAATAACAACAGCTTCAGCTAATACTCCTTCTTCTGATTATTATGCAGACATTTGTTAATTAGCTACTTTTATCTGAGGAAGCATACATGTCCTTTCATAACTTGTAGTTCTGAAACTTTTGTTAGGGCATGAATGTATTTATTTGCAAATGTGCAGAGTACTTTCAGATAGTTGGAGATTTTTTTCCCCCTAGACTGCATGGGTTGACATGAGGCACTATAACAGGTCTAGGGAAACAACTGCTTTTGTAGCTGTTTTAGAGAGCAGGGGTGGGATTTTTTTTTTTTTTTGCATAATATATTAAGTTACCATTTTGCTAAGAGTACAGGAAACTTCACAATGTCACTCAGTAGATTCTATGAATAGGAAGCGTTAGGAAATGGGTTTGTCTGCCTTGCTGTAATGCACCAACATGATTGCCAGTGGTTAATGTCCTCCTGCTGGGTATTTCATGGTACATCATATGCATGTCATGTCATGTTAAGCTGAACACTAACAGCAGCAAGGGAACAGCAGCAATGTTACACCCACAAATCAATGCTACAAACAAGCTTCTTCCACAGTGGGCAAAGGAAGGCTAACAATATATTGTGTTTATTGTAGTCTAGACCCTGGTTCCTGATAAGAGAGAATACTTCTGATTTTGGGGGTGAGGGGGCACAACATAACATGGCCACCCCCTCAACCTCTACATGGAAACCCACATGCATAGAAAAATCACAATTATAGTGTATGGAAACCTTCTAACAAACCAAAGTATGAAAACACCAGTGCTCAAATAAGGATCTCTACATTTCTGCATTACCTTGCATTTGTGGTGAGAGGCAAAAGCCTGTGAGCTCCCACTGTTTGGATTACTGAAAGTGAGGACAATGGTGGTAAAACTACATCTAAACTGGCCCAGGAATATTTCTAAAGTATGAATCATAGGCTAGTCATGCCCATTGTCTCTTTGTTCTGCTTTTTCACTAGAACATTCCACTTTTAGAAGTATTAATCTATGCCACAAATTCCCTTGACTTGTCTTGCTACCATTTGAATTTGGATACATACAATTTGAATTCATTGTCAACAATTCAACAGCATATGTGTTGCTCCTTCCCCATCCTCAAGTGACAGCTGGAAGCATGTTACTTTTACCTATCATAGGTGACTCTATAAAACTCCATGCATTCGTCTGAGGAACGTATGATTGCAGGACTCCAGCAGCTCGGCCAGCTTCATTCACGCCTCCAAACACATAGATCTTTCCACCACAAACAGTTGCAGCTGCAGAATGCACCGCCTTTGGCAAAGGAGCAATGGTCTCCCACTGATTGGTGATGGTGTCATACCTAAGACAAAGATAGAGGAATAAACCTAGATGCTAGAGAGATTAATCTTCACCTGTCAAGAAAACATCTTCCTAAATGTATTTTCTAGCCTCATTAATAATACATTCAGTGGATAATTACCATATTTTTCGAAAACAAAGCTGACTTTGAATGCTCATCTCAACAAAAAAGGAAACTATATGTAAATGTAGCTATGTAGATACATATATATATATATATATATATATAGAGAGAGAGAGAGAGAGAGAGAGAGAGAGAGAGAGAGATAAACTCTCGTGTATTGTCCAACTACCTGATTCTGTCAAGTTAAGCTTTCCAACTCCAGCCGAATCTAACCCTTGAGATTAGAATCTCCCCTCCCCAAAATAAATGTCTGCACCTCACACCAACAAACAAACAAATAAATAAATAAATGGATAAATCCAAGATGAACCCCTCCCTTCCCCACAACTGAATTAAGAAGTACAAATCAAATTTAATTGCCTATAAATAAAGTATCCATTTACAAAATTAACTATCCCCAACTGCATATACCGATGATCTTCTCCCTGACACACAATCCTCTCTCATATGACAGCAATTAAATAAAAGCACACATTCCTCTCCCTCTTTCTAGCAGAAACTAAAAAAAGAAAACAAGAGGGGAAAAAATCCTGGAATCCTTTGCCACTGGAAAGTAATGAGATAAAGGAAAGAAGTAAAGAGAGAGAAGCCCTGTTTAGATGTAATAGAAAGGGTTAAATTCACCAGGCAGTCCCCTCCCAAGCAACAGCCAATCATCCAATGAATCCAGGCTTTGCCACGGGGACATCCGCATCCATCTGCATCTCATGCTAATTCCTTTCTTTTCAACAGCTTCTTCTGCTCTTATAAAGAAGCCCTTCTACCCTTTTAAGGCAGTCAGTGATACGGCAAGCTAGCAAATGAGCAGAAAAGAAAATGAAACTTATTCTCTACATATGCCTCTCAAATCTAATTATATCTTTGGCTAAAATAATCCAGGTTTCCTTTGTCAAGATGTCTCCAATTAATTAACTTCAGTTAATTAGAACAGAAGAGATAATCCTTGTGAATCAGTGCAGTGATATCGAGCAGCAACTAGAGGAAAGCAAGTAATACACTGAAATTGTTTAGCTTGAAGATCATCTCATCTTCAGATATAACATAGTATGATAACTAGCTATTAAACATTTTGGGGACCTGGAAGCTGTCTCAGTTTAACTTTCACTGTGTGCCCAAAGCTACCCCATTTCATTGCAAGATGCTGGACAGCTAAGATTTTACTACTCCATCCTTTTCCCCATGTACTACAGCAGATAAGTATATGCATTAGAGTGCTAAATTAGTTCTAAGGTCATCAGTATAAAATTTAAATTATTAAATATTAATAGCCACTGACCATAAAGATGTATAGTTAATAAACCATAGATGAAGATTCATTTTGGACAATATCACCACTTCAGACATGTATTTTTAAAGCTAACTTGGGCAGCAATCCAAATAAACTGGGCGACAGGAAAAAGGAAAACGGGGATGATGCCTCAACATTCCCATGGAATGCAGCATAGCCAGTGAACTATTCAATTTTTGAATCTAATAGTGGGAGACATTAACGATAAGAATTACAATTTTCTCTTCACTCGCGCACACACATGCACAATCAGAGCCTAATGCCGCTGGCAACTTTTGCAGCTAATAAACATGAACATGATTGGCATTCATGATTCTTCACTCATTTTATCCCTTTCTTGAAATGTACATCCATGTTGTTAATGACCTTTTAGTGATGCCTCAAAATCTCCTAGTCCAAAAGTGCAGGGGCAGGTTGAGGGACCAATAATATTTCATTAATAATAAAAGAAAGGAACTGAGGAAAAATTAATGGCAAAGCAACTTAACCTGTTGTCAAAATGTGTACATGATTTTACCTGAAAAGCTGTTAAAAATACAGTAATATGAATGGCTACAAAAGAAGTAGACATTTGGTTAAATGAGGGGAGAGAAGCACCAGCAAGGCAATGAAAAAGACACTTTAAAAATTCTAAATACTTCACCGGAAAAAAAAATAAGGCAAATTGGGAAATTACAAAATGTTTAACTTGCATATTCCTAGGGTAGATTTCATTTTATAATGTTTACTTCCAAGAATGTGGCTTCTGGATTTACATTTGGATATTTGAATCACACACATGCAATTTTATGCCTAGACCTAGACCACGGTGCAAAAGATAAAAGGAAAGCTAAAATTTTCTGAGATGTTTGCTCTCCCCACAAATACAAATGTCTTTGGTGGAAGGAGAATTACATTTTACCCATCAGTCTCCTACCCTTATTCTGTCAGAATGAAAGAGGTGAATAAAAAACGGTACTGAAGTCCAACATTCAGCAGGTACAGCTTTGGAAGATCCTGACATCCTACCATTTTATATTTGAGATATTCAGCTTTGTACTTTTCAGATCAGAACAGAATCTATGTTATAGTACACAGTACATTTCCTATCTATCTGCTATCCTTGCATCACAAAGAAGTAAACAGATTAATTGTGCACTTTTCTTTATATTTTCTGCTTGTTTCAGAGATGTATACTGTATAATATTTTTTTCTGTTTACTTAGCAATTTCATTCAACTGCTGTGACAAAAGCAGGATACTTGTGCATCAAACATGATGGAACTTCCTTAAAAGTTCTGTTGAAGGTCTCCTGCTATGCCACAGTGCAAGATGGGGAAAAAATCAATTGCTAAATGATGCTCTATCATCTAGCTCTCAATCAGAGAGAACCTGTTCAAAGGATGTGTCTAACTGGAACTAAATCTTCTAAAGACACATGCACCTTTTCTCCCGAGTGATGCCTTCAGGAATAAGAAAATTTCTCTTAAATTTCCCCCAGTAAATAATACTAATAAGATGGCATACTGACATAATAGGCACATTTCACTTCCTTGTAACCATGCTGTATCCATTCTCCATGCCTCAATCTACATTTGAATTTTCAAGTTTTCTATTATTCTGATTCCATTTTCTTTGGTAGCTTTTTTGGAAACAGATTCATATTACTTGCGTATTGATCCTCCTCCAAAGCAGAGGATTAAGATTTAAATGGACGTTAAGCTGCTGCAAATAATTCCTTTCCAGGCCAAAGTGTTTCTGACCTCCACTTTCTCTGCTTTCTCCAAGTGATCCCTTCCAGGCCTGGACACAGGAACAGCTGATGCAGATCCAAAGGTTACCGACTATCCCAGGAGAGCGGGAATGAATAACCTGAGCACTTTGAATCAAGTGCCAGAACTTAAATCTAATGTTTTTGGTGGAAAACTCTGTTCTGTGCCTTTTTGTACAAACAATTCAGGTAATGATAAAACCAGCTGGCAGCTGCTTATGTGACAGGATTCAGAGCTGAGACACCAACAGAGGAGTTAGATGGCAAGTCAACCTCTATGTTATCATAGGAAGGCGCCATCATATGACCCATATTGTTGCTCTCACTGTTTTGGCACTAGGTTTTATTGCTCTTGGGCAAACCCCCCCAAAATTATAGGTAGAAAAAAAAAGGGCGGGAGAAAGGCTGTAACCTCAGCCTGCAAAATCTGCCACAATAAGAAACCCTACCATGAGAATGGTAAACACTATTCTGAGCTGTCCCCCAGCTTCAAGTGCGCGTCACAGCTTACAGCCCAAATCCTTCATCTGTATATGGAAGTGAGATTCACCTATCACACCTGGATGCTTTGATCATCCCTAAGGAAAGGCATTTCTACCTGGAGTACTGGAAATGTGCTGTACGATCATTGTGAAGTAATATTAATAATAAATGGGATGGGTAACAAAAGACCACAGCATGGAAGTGAATGTTTGGTATCTCCTTTTGGATTTCAGATTGCACCTTTCCCTTCCCACTAGTCAATAAACATTCTTGGGATGTTTTGGGGATTCTCCATCCTTAAACTGTTCTTTTCTCCCTAAATATATATTTTTTATTTCTCCAAAACTTGGTGTTCTGTCCAGTATGATGACCCCCTACATAACTGATTAGATACGTTTTGATTAGATAAGGAACATTACCTGAAAAATTAAGGATTGGATAAATAGATATGATAGATATGATATATGATATGATATATCCATAATAATACAATGAATTGACAATTATTATTTAAACTTACAAAGTACTGAAATCTTTAAAATGTAAAAATAAAAGTAAATGATAGTTAGCATAACAAGCTGGACCTCTTTCCCCAATCCAGCTATGTTGTACTTTTCTCTTCCCACATTTTCAACTTTGTAGTTACAGGATTTTAATTATTTTACTCTGTATGTCTGCTGAATGGAAAAAAGCTCTTTGAATTATACTGTAAACTACTCTTTTTCTGAACTGTGTCTGAACACATACAGTAGTAAGCTTTCTCCTCTTAATTCTTTTCTGTCCTGGTTAGCAACTTTATGAATGAACGCTTTAATTTATTTCTCTTATAAAGCTTTTGTACCATCATTATCTGGAATTTATATACCATACCTTCACTATCTTATACATTATTCAGAGGAGACTTTGCAGAAAAATAGTTATGGAAAAATAAAGCTGTACTGTACTGAGAAAGTCTGCTTTCTAAGCCTCGCATAAATATGTCCTTCCTGTCTCTCTCTTTTTCTTCCTCCTAGAATTTTCCAGCTGAAATTCTACTGGCCAAAGCTCCATGCACATTTTTTCTGAAGACATCAAGGATTCCAAACTACTATGCCACTTGAATCTTACAAGCATATAAACATCGTGGATCTCTTTAAAATTCTTTTCTCTCATTGCATATAACAAAGGAAAAATATCCATTTGAAAAGGAATGTGGAGGAATAGATAGCTTAGCTTCAATTCATATTCTTGTTTCTCAAAAGGGAGTTTATAGAAAAGCAAGAGATAAATTATTACAGAGCATTTAAGAAATCTCCATTAGAATAATGTCCCCACCTCTATAGCGGGAAGCAGGCTTGGAGGAAATTATACGATGAAATTTTGGAAAAAACTTATTTTCATGATGGGTAAGCACATGTAGCTAATTTTCACTGAACTAATATCTGCATATTCTTTGATATTGAAATATTTGCATATAAAATCAGGCTTGAAGTATCTTCATCAAAAAGAGCTGATGATGTACCATAGTAGCTAAGAGAATAGCTACAAATGATAATTACCAATATTATTTATTATATTTATATCCCACCTTTCCTTGAGTAACTGAATTAAAGTTGCCTAATGAACATTTAACCCTAAACATGCTGATAGTCTGGAAACCTAACTATTACCCTACGTTGTCCTGCATAAAATGCCTAGTTCAAATCTCAGTTCTGGCAACAAACTCAATAGATTATAAGCAACAAAATAAGGTCCTCTTTTGGATATTATAGTACATCACAATTTTAAAGAATTCTGGCTTATTCATCATTAGCAGTGCCTTCCTTAGCTTCATCCAGGGTTGTGAGTCCATTGATATCTCTGGACTCTCTCTTAGCAAGACATTCATAAGCCATGATCTTTACATCATGCTAAACAAGCCACAGCAGGAACTGTATAGGTTGGCAAGAAAACCTGGGAAGCAGCCATCATGTTGATTTATGAGCAGACTAAAAGTATTGAATGCAGTTTTGGCTTACTGTGATTTCCAAATATGGCTGATGTACATGAAGAGCTTTGAATATTTTATGGCAGCCTTCCCCAAACTGGGTGCCCAGCCTATATGTGGATTTGAATTGAGGACTTGGGGAGTTGAAGTCCACACATGTGGAGGAGACCCGATTGCAGAAGGCTGTTCTACAGTATTT